TGTGACGAGCCGAGTGACAGATGATGGAAGCAGTTAGCTTCCTCCCATAATTGGGGCTTACCAGGGGTTGTGACTCTTTATATATATGAGGGTAGAACAAGAAGCAATGTGTAGAAGCTAATCAAGGAGAGAAGCAACCTAGAACTAAGGAGAAATTTCCTGACAAAAGAATTAATCAGTGGAACAACTTGCCTTCAGAAGTTGTGAATGTTCCAACTCTGGAAGTTTTTAAGAAGATGTTGGATAATCATTGGTCTGAAGTGGTGTAGGGTTTCCTGCCTAGGCAGGAGATGGTTTAGAAGACCTCCAAGGTCCCTTCCAACTCTGTTATTCTATTCTATACTTAACTTCAGTGCAGTGTAAAATGTCTTACGTGTCAGAACTATTTTTCCCCTAACAAAAAATATATTGATTGTAAAAGCTGAGTGTATGTTTCATAGTCTTCTGCTGAAAATATTTTAATACGTGTTTCATATGCATTATACAGTGGACAAAAGTGGATATATTTATTGATAGAGAAATGTATTTATTATAGCTTCTACTGTTCTTGAATGTCTTGATAACTGCAAGCTCTTTGAAAGTAACCAAACGATTCTTCGCAAGTTGGGAGTGAAACTTGTTCAACGACTTGGTCTGACATTTCTTAAGCCAAAGGTGGCAAAGTGGAGGTTTGTTCTTTTCATAATCATGTTTTTACTTGCCTTCTTTCCTTTTATTAGGCTAATCTGAGTTGTAAGATCTATCATTAATAGAAGTAGATAAGTAAGAAATCATCTCTCACTCATTTGATGACAAGAAGTTCTGGTTTAGCAATATTTGTGTAGGAATTTTGGCATTCCATAGGTATAAGCAACTTCTTCTATAATTTTAATTTACATTATTACTTTACATTTTCTAGAGTTTGTTTTACAGTTAAATGGTCCTTTCAAAGTTAAATTTAGGACTATGGAGAAAAACAAATCCTAGCAGGGGTATTGTTTTAAAAGGTTTAAAAGTTGTGATGCCTCTTCTTTTTCTTCTATCATGTTTATCCTTTGCCTCCTTGAAAGTACCAGTACTGAAAAACATAATTAGGTTGTTAAAAAATTTCCTCCCACTAAAATACACATTATAACACTAGGAGTAGCAAGAATAAAGGGCATGTAGGTGTGGGTGAAGCTGACGGGTCTGTAAATCAGCAAGAAACGCAGTAGCCAGAAAAGATGGTTTGCCTCCACTATCCTGCCCCTTGGCTCCACAGCCCTGGGAGCTCAGTTTGGTCCTGGGGATTTGGTGCTTATCTGTCAGTTTTTTGGGACCATACAAAAACAGTCAATTTTTATTGACTCCTGGCTGAAAGAATGAACAATTACTTCAAACTAATATGGATTATGTTACTAAAACCATTAAACATTAGACAGTTTGCTCAAGCAATAATTAAAGAAAAATGTATTTCTTAAGTTATAAACTATGTCCACAAAGCTTGAGCTTAGATTGCACATTTTATACATTTAAATATATTCATATTTAAATATAAATGTTTACATTCTATTTAATTAATACATAATTTACAGGTATTTTATTGGTGAAATTGCCTCTAGATCAGGGGTGTCAAACTCAAGGCGCGGGGGCCAGATCCAGCCCACTGGGTGCTTAGCAATAGCAATAGCAGTTAGACTTATATACCGCTTCATAGGGCTTTCAGCCGTCTCTCAGCGGTTTTACAAAGTCAGCATATCACCCCCACAGTCTGAGTCCTCATTTCACCCACCTCGGAAGGATGGAAGGCTGAGTCAACCNCAATGGCGAAAGTTACACTACTGCAGCCCCCCCCCCCCCAGTCATGTGATTGTATGATCTGGGCATTTGAATTTACAACAAATGTACAGTGATCATGTACCGATTAGTGGCAGTCTTCCCAGCTGGCTTCCCCAAAAAGAAGCCAGCAGAGTTCTTGACAATTGCTATCCCTTCTCCCTTCTCTCTTGGGTGGTACAGAACCTAAAAGCTGGGTGGGCACATTTCCCAGTGGGGACAGTAGACCCAATCAGATCTTGGTATGTCATACCAGCTTGGCTCCCTCTTCCAGGATATGATCCTGGATGAGATTAGCTTTACTACGTACAATCCTGGCATTCATAAGATACAGCTGAAGTCCAGGGCCATCAGGGATATAATTGCTGGGCCAGAGTGGAATCTCTTTCAAGGACTTAGCCCAATATCCCCATGTGAGGTTCCCTTGGATTTCTGATCTCTCACAGGGAGATAAGGTAGAGATGACCCTGCTTTTCCCCTCAGCTTCCCCACACCAACCCTCTCAGATATGTTTCCTTTCCAGGCCTTGCAGGCATATCCACTCTCTCTCTTGACAATTCTTCTATAACTCATTCCAACTCACTAAGAACTCAAATCATCCCTAACTCCACTTGCCTCAAAGTACTTGGCAGTCCAAGCCCCGGTGGTAAAAGAAGACAAAAGAAAGGAAAAAAACAAACCTAAAAGTTCTTCCCAGTCCCTCTTTAACCCCCTGAGCAGAGCTGGAATTGTGATGCAAGCTAAAGGGCCCAGGGCAGCCAGATCCACAAGACCAACATCTGGTGACAGTGATGGTGGTTGTCCACCAAGTCTGTAAAGAAGATATAGAATGTTGAGATCCCATTCATTGTTTTCTTTGAACATTGGTATCCTATTGTAAAGTAGCTTGCATTCCATTTTGAAGTTTTCTATCATGTATAATGTATTCTCTTTCTTTTTTATTTTATGAATTAGAACATAGGGGTTTCTTGTTCTCTCATCGTAGAGTAGCTTTACTGATAACTGTTGAACATTAAGATTTTTTTCGAAGTATAAGATGCACCTTTTTCCTCCAAAAAAGAAGGTGAAAATCTGGGTGTGTCTTATACACTGAATGCAGCATTTTTGGCCTCCCGAAACCCCGCCCCTTCACAAAAATGGTTTGGGAGGCATGCAAAGTGTTCCTGGGGGCTGTGGACGGCACAAATGAGTGAAAAATGGCCTTTTTTTGCTTGTTCCCACCACCCGCCCCTAGGAGCACTCTAGGAGCCTGCCAAGGCCTAGGCATGCCCTGTTTTTGTGCAAAAAACTGACTCATTTTCATGAAAATTGGCCTTTTTTTTGTGCTCATTTTTGCCCCCCCCCCAGCCTCTAGGAGCATTTTGCAGGCCTCTCAAACTCTCTGCATGCTCCGTTTTTCACAAAAAAACGAGGCATGCAGAGGTTTTGGGAGGCTGCAGAGTGCAAAAACTTTTTTTAAATTTTACCTCTTCAAAATCTTGGTGCGTCTTATTCTCCAGTGCGTTTTATAGTCCCAAAAATGGGACTATAGTTATGCCCAACTTCATGCTGTTTCCTATGTTCACCTTTTTATATGGAAGAGGTGAATTGCAAAGTCATGCAAATCCAGTAGAATTCTAAATTCAGTACTAAAAGGGAGACATTAAACTAAGTAATAAATAATAAATAAGTATTTGAATAAACATTCAATTTCAGATATGGTGGATTCATATCATATATTGAGGAAGAGGTAATCCAATAGTAAATTGGCTAGAAAGATCTCATCATATGCCCTGGTACTGTAGTAGTATATTCATTTTCACAGTAAGTAGCTGAGAGTAGTTAGGTAGGTAGGTAGATAAAGGGATATATATAGAGAGAAATAGAGAGAGATAGAGAAATACAGTAGGTAGGGAGAGAGAGAGAGTGTGTAGGTAGGTAGGTAGAGGGATAGAGAGAGAAATACAATACATAGGTAGGGAGAGAGAGAGAGTAGGTAAGTAGGTAGGGAGAGGGAGAGAGAGATAAATACAGTAGGTAGGTAGGGAGAAAGAGAGAGAGTAGGTAGGTCAGTAGATGTTTCCAGGTGTATTTATCCATGCTGGAGAAGGAAATCGCTGACAATCTGCAAAACCTCAGACTTTGTTTCTGCTGGCACAGCACGTGATCAATGTAATTCTCATCAATCAGTTAAAGAACTTTCCAAAAGGAAAAAAAAGTTTTTGCATTCTGCAAAGCTCCCAAAAACGGCCTGTTTTTTTTGTGAAAACGGGCCCATTTTCCCTCCCCAAAAGGCATGAATAGCCGGGGGGGGGGGGGGCTTGCAGAGTGCTCCTGGGGGGGTGGGAGGGGGGCCATAAAGGAGCAAAAAATGGCAAAATTTTCATGAAAAT